CCACCTTGGGGGAGGGGGGTCGTAAAAATTTTTCAAAAAGTACCAACGATAGGACCTCTGATCCCTACTCTTTCCCATAATGTTTCGATGGCGCTCGGGACATTGGTGTGAATTGTTCCCTTCGTTGAAAGCGCGCCATGCTGTCGAAACCAATCCTTCACAGTGAAGGTGCGATGCTTTTGGTCGCTCTATAGCTAGAAGGCGAACTCAGTCACGTACAGTTTCATACGAGCGGATACGAAACTCCTTCTAGAATCTATCTGATACGTCGGCATTCACCACTTCTCTAATCCTGTGCAGTTGTAAAACTTCTTTTACGGACTACCACACGCGAGCCTCCGCCAAGTTTTACATACGGCAGTTAATTCCTTGGATCGAAACGTTTTTCCTCAGGACCGCACACATTCCTATTTCAGTCGCCGGCAAACATCTTGAATACACTCTCGTTGGTCCGCAGGACGTTGTAGCCCTATGGGGATCCCCACTTTAGGTGTGCGTAAGCCCATTTCGCCCCCGACCAGTTCACCGCCGACTAACTTCGCAGTATTCGCAATCATGTGAAGGCAGCCTATACAGTTGGGTTCTAGAAGGAGCTCTTATCCACGTGTATGACAGCTGCCCGCGACTGAGCTCGCCTTCTAGCATTAGTGCGACCAAAAGCATCACACCTTCACTGTGAAGGAGTGGCTTCGCCAGCATGGCGCGCTTTCAACGAAGGAAACATTTCACACCAATGTCCCGAGCGCCATCGAAACATTATGGGAAAGAGTAGGGATACCTTTGGTGGAAATAAGAGCCGGGAATATGGGCGAGAAACTCGTCAAATTTCAAGAGAAGTGGAGGAAGCTGCCCTAGTAGACAGTGCATTCAATGACTGATTCCTTACTTAGGCCTTGTTAGTATTTCAGCGAACCCAGAAGATCATTAACAAAGTATTGGACCTGCCCAGTGTTATTCATCATGCGTAAGATTGTTTTGTTGAATTGTAAGCTTGCTAGAGTAATTTGAAACCTACTTGGAATTTGCTCATACGCGAGAATTTCTAGTGAAATGATTTTTTCCATTCTTAATTCTTTCTCAATCTCGAAACAAATAGTGTAGCCGTTATTGATGTGAAAGTAGTAATTTGTCTCCAAAAATTAATGAATTTGGGACTGAGTTGACTTCAGCAGAAAAAAGTTACAGTCGAAGAAACATTCCAGCAAAGACTTTTGACCGCTACTGTAGCAACGGGACTCGTACTTGGATGGGATTGGCGAGGGGGCGTACTTATCTCGGGGGGCCGGCCTTATCAGCAATTGCTTGCCGAAAACATGCGATAAGGCAGCACGTTACATTGAGCAAGGATACTGTGATAGAGATCTAAAATAGACCCAGCTTCCTTTATATTGAGTGTTCAAATGAGCATCAGCCGAATCACGAGTCCGAAGCGTGTGGCGCACACCAAGGCAGGGGATATCAGTGCAAGCGCATGCTCAAAGCATTCTAACACATCCTATGGTCAACATGATATTGTTTTCCCTGGAGGATGCGGCCAGTGAAACCTTAAAAAACCCCGCGTTCTTAAGAAAATGGCTTGGAGAGAATGCATCTCCAAAAAAAGTCAGCAACGAGAGGACTATTGGTTCGACCCCACGACTCACTTTTCAGAAACGTTCGAGGACTTTTTAGAAAGCTTGAATCCTGTAGTTTCTCATACCGGTTCAGCTTCCCAAATAAATGAGTTTGAAGGAAGTTATGGTCGTTTAAAGGTTGAAAAGTCGCGTTTGCACAGAAAAAAGTTCCAACGTGCTAAATTTTTACTAAATTAGCTTTCGATGAATTTCAGCCATGATTGGAGAGAGAATGATTGAGTTTTTTTTTTCAAATCAAATAACTCCGGCGCGAAAGCTCGAATATGAAGAAAGTTATAGCCCTAAAAAGAGGAAGGTGAAAATTGTAGTGCAAATTCATTTCTTGCTCAATAACTTAATTATTTCAGATTGTTTAAGAACAAATCCGCTCTACTTAAGAAGGATGACCGTCGGTGATCCAGAATCCACCTCCGTCTTCCGAGGAACCTGAAATTTTACAAGGAAAAATTCCTCTACTTCTCAATTTCCCCTTTCGACACCTGTTCCCATTCAACAAACGCGCCCCATTGCAGTCACCCAGGGCGCGATCCACCACATTCAAAACGCGGTCAATACGCGTTTCCACTCTTTTTTCGACATTTTTCATCATTTCTTTTTGCCATCATTTTTTCAAGGGTGGAGTCTTCTTTTGTTGGGGCCGCGTTAAGTGTTTTGTGCCTCCATGTTTTTTTTTCAACGACTCAGATCATCGGAAGATTTTTTTATTTTGCGCTGTCGTCTTGTTCTTCGCTGAATCCATGTTTCAAGGTCTTAGGTCATCGTGGGTTGGGTCATATAAAATGGCAGGGTTGGGGTTTCAAAAAAATAGGTAAAGTACCAACAGATAAGACTTAGGGCCTGTGTCCTAGCAGTCTAATAGGTAATCCCTAAAGTAGTGTCGTGTTCTTTCTTCTTATGGGAAATTCCTGAATGGAAGCCCTATGCTTTTACATTATTTCATACCAGATTGGTCCCCCGACAACCGCCGGTACCATCCCTCCCTGTGTAAGCTTTTCAGTATCCACTGTGTTCCTTTCCACTTGACACCAAACCTTCGTAGAGGGGATGTGTGCACGGAAAAGAAGTGTTTCACACAGTAGAGGGCGTCTCATCACTAAATGACGTTAGAATGACTCCAATTGTAGTGTTTTCCTCTTACATCCTCATCCTCCCTTCCTCTCTCCACTGCCCTCCAGCTGCCACTGCAGCACCATGTGGAATGAACGGAAGTGTGCTAAGCAGGTGTTTATATAGCCCTAGAGTGTTATCACAACTATCCTACAAAACATTGATATCTCAAATCCTGTAAGCTACCCGATTTGTTAGCGGTTTGTTTATCCCATGAGCTTCCTTCTCACTCACTTCATTTTGCGGACGGACACACATACATACATACACACACACACACACACACATACAGATACACAAACCGACACACAAAGTTAGCGCTTTATAAAATAGAAGGATTTCTTATATTTTATTTAATGCTCCTATCTGGCCCTATCTATCTATTTATCCATCGTGGGCATTGTAATATGCTGTCGAGACAACCCTATCGCCCTCGAAAAGTTGTCAGGTCAGCAGGAAAAAGATGCTGCTTGATGCTCTGATCAGTGATTACTATTAGCTCATTGATGAGAGAAGTGGCATAAGTGTAGCGCAAGTGCGCGCTTACCACGCGAGCGGTCCGGGATCAAATCCTGGGTCGTGAGTCGCCCGGGCCAACCAAGCCTTCCATCCCTCCGGGGTCGGTTAATTGGTACCAGACTTGTCTGGGAGGATAAAAACACTGACTTGTACATCGGCTGGCCCCCGCAAGTCATTGTATAGGCCACATCGCATTCAAACGCCACTGCGAATGTACAAATGGAAGTAGAATGCGTGCCGCATCCCAAAAAGGGATTGATCAACGGCAAATGCTTTATCCTTTTATCCTTTTAAGAGCTAAACCATTTAGGAACTCTTGCGGTAACTGCAAGGCGATAAGTTGAAGAGCCTGAAACCCACGTAATGACTTCGAAACTGGGTCGCGCCTTGTGTAACTGCCTGTAATCATTGGAAGGTTACATCACCGGCGACAAGAACTTGAACGATAAAATGGCTATCGTTAAAGACAAGGGTCAAGACAGAGTTGGGGAGTCTAGGCGCTCGAAAATGACACGAGGGTCTGAACCTTAACCCTGGAGGAAGAAAAATGGAAAGAAGCTCAAAAATGTATTTTCTCTTAAACACCAGCTAACGAGTGCATGTGCCCGCGTGTCCGGACTAGTTCCCCGAACATTTTTTTTTCTAATTTTCCCAATCCAGCTCTAATGTATTAACCGTGCCTAGAGCTAATGCTATGCCGCCTCTAGCGGCGGATGGTCACGGCTTGAAGGCAAAGTTCGGGCTAGACGCAAACTTAAGAAGCTACCATGGCTAGAAGTGCTGGCACGCAAGTGCAAAGTTAGCGCCACCTTTCTACATCGAAACCCGTCACCAGGACCCTAGGCGCCATGAACTTCTAACAGACTCCACCAAACATAACATGGTCCGCCCACCGATCGATGTCTTGTCTGCGTCGCTGCGTTGATCTGCTATGCTCTCTCTTCTCGGACTTCTCTACCACTCTCCGCGCTCACATTATCTCTCATCTCCCTGCCTGTCTTTTGAACTTCTCCACAGCATAGAGCAAAATGCTCGTATTTCCTGTGTATTTCAGGATTTTCTTTCCTTTTTTCTCCACTGGCGGTCCACCTCCCATCCCTACTTTCACATTTGAGTGGAATCAACCCATCAATGTAATCCTGATTCTTGCCTTTAAGCTAGGCGCCGATAGCCTAGAATAATGGGCCGGGGGCCCAAGTCACGAGCGTAGCTCCACCTCTGTGGTTGCGCAGCCACCCACAGAACTGATAGAAGGGGTTGGTTTGGCCGCCTGATCCGCTCAACTCGTGCCTTTAAGACGTATTTCCTTCTGAAACTTTGAACCTTCTTTAGACGAGAAAAATAGAAAAATACAGATTTATTCTTTCAAAAAATAACCTTACATCTTGCGTCTCTAGCATCTATTAATCTTTAATTACATCAACTAAACCTAAAAGATTTCACCTCAAAACACTATTGTGCAAACATTGATAAATACAGTACATGTTGTCCTGAGGTTGACGTAAAATCAGCTGATCACAGCCACCTGCTTTGCTAGAACATGTTCACCGCTACTCGATTATGAACCGGATTATGAGAGAAATTCAACCGAGAGGACAAAAACTTGTGATTTGACGAGAATCGAAAACGGATATGAGGAAAGCTCCTTGAATGTATAAAGGGCAATATGTCTGAATATTATATGAAGGCCTAAGTAAGAGGTCGAGAATTGTCGCGATTGCTAATGCTGTTGAAAGGTTCTCAAGAAGCCGGTACTTTGTGCATGAATTGACCAGCACCAATCCGCCTCCATAGCTCTGATCGTAGCAGTTCCTGGCGAAGAATTAATCACAGAACGTTCTTTGGTAAAAAAAAATAGAATTCCAAATTGGCATGGAAGTTGATGTGAATAGTTTTGCTGTAGCCTGACCAAGATTTCGGCACT